TAGAATGCAGAACTAAATACCTTAGATTAATCTGTTGATAACTTAAACTAATATTCCATATATATATATATATATATATAAAATTAGATGAAAATTTGAATGAAAATGAAAAAATATTGCCTTGCAACTAATTTAATTTAAGTTTAAATTAAAGCACTAAAATTAATAAAACTAAACTTGAAAAATAAGTTAAAGCTATATAGAAATATATGATGAACAAAAAACTAATACAAATGACAAAAGCACATAAAAGGTTGCTCAAATTGAAACTAAACAAAATAAAAACTGAAAATATAAAAATAAAAGCTGATTCAAAATATTAATAAATCCTATAATAGTATATAGAAATAATGCTAAAATAAAACACTGGTCTATAAATAGGCAGTCTTATACCCTCGATTGCTGCAGGATCCAGGCCGAGAGGTTGAAACTTCTGTTTCCAGAGCGCCATTCCTTTGACCTCGCTCAGATGATACAGCAGCGCCTCAGAGCCACTGTGTGCACAGCAAACACTCAATGCACATGCCGCTCTCTAACATACTCTATCTAGTGCTGGTTAAAGGGCTAGTGAATGATACACACCTCTGCAAGTGACTGATAACAAGTTTCTGGATGCTGGAATAAGAGGAATCAATGGACTGACCCAGCATCTTCAAGCCCTGAGCAAATAAACAACCAAATAATGAATGAAGTTGGTAATAATAGCATGACTACTGACAGTGGCTAACTTATGCAGTCAACCTAATTCCAGGTAGATTTACCTTGACTGTGAGTTGATTCATAAGAAGAGCCTGAAGTTCAGGGCTGAAAAAGAAGTTTTCGACTCCGAAATCAGAATATATATACAGTTCTACAAAAGTAACCTCTTATTATGTCATTATCTGGTTTGGCTATGCTAATGAATAGCTACAACACATTATTAGGTATGCTAAGCAGTTTTCTTATTCTGACTGTAGCTATAAGAACATATGGTGCCCCCTGCTGGCAATTTAGAGTAAACACAAGCATATTTCATTTTATCTAAATCATTTCATATTAAATATTACTTTAAAATATAAGATACATTTATATTAAATATTAATATATTATTTTACATAAAATATTACTAGTGTGATTTTACAAACATTACAACATTTGCCACAAACACCACTCTTCAACAGCTCACTCACTGCCACAATTACCACTGTGATATGACAATATGTACTCTTCAAAAACCTAGTGTGATTATCATTTATGAATTATGTACCTGGCATGGCCCCATAACAATAGCTCCAGGAACTCATCTTGAACCTGAGTGCTTGTGTTCTTTTCCTGTAAAACAACAATGCAGTTCAACCATCAACTGTCTCTTAGAACTCTAATAAACAACAAACAGAGCCATTTACCATGGCTTCAATGGATCACAGTCCACTCCTGCACTTCTATGTACTTTCAGGGTGAGGCATTTCAATGCTCTAATGAATGCCATCCTGTTTGATGTCTTTTATAGGCTTGTTTGTGATTGCCTGGCTTGTGATGAACTCTAACCTGAACAAACTTAGTGAGGCGGAGGTCCATCTGCATAAGAATGTCCTCCCAAGCTTCACACATACAGGTGAGAGAGAGACGCAGATACTAAACAACAGAGAAAGAGAATGAAAGATGTGTGAATAAAGACAGGGTTACAGCTTGTATCAGTAAGACACCCATGAAGATTTACCTGCAGCAGTGTGGAAATGTGTGTAAACTTGTGTGCCATCTTGGTCAACTCAGGCAAACATGAAGACAGCAGTCCAGTGTCCAGCTGCAACACAGTCACAGTCAACTAATGATATCAACCTCATACATTCCATTCAATGCAGAGATGCCACATGTAACCTGGTAGTATAAGGTTATGTGTGACTCAACCTGTTTGCACTTCGTTTACTTTGACATCAACCTTCAATAAATAACAGCTACATAAAATTATATTACTGATATAATTTGCTGAAGTTCAGTTGCTGTTGTTTCAGCACTTGTAGACGGAAATGTTACATTTGTCAGATTAACAAAAGATAAAGTAACTGAACCATCATTTTGATGTTTTTTAGGGGCATGAAGTTTGTAATTATATTTATTAATTCATGAAATCTATGAATGTAGTCACATGTAATGAAGGTAAGGAAAAATATATTGTAACTCAGTTTCAACACAAGATTTTTTTAGAGACATTATATTTAAATTGTTCTTAAAAATGGTATAAAGGTTTTTTTAACCATATGACACCAACATTAACACATTTCTAAAACATTGGCACGTTTTTTAAAGCTTTTTTTCTTTATAGTGGGCACTCTAATTTGTGACTGACCCATAAAGCAAAGCACAGTACTGATAATGACAATGTTGGGATGAAAATAATGTTTTCAGACTTTACCTGTATGTAATGTATCTCGGGGTTGTCTTCTGTGGATCTAATCTCTGTAATAACAGAGAGGGACTTGAGGTCACTAGACAGACCAAGACTACGGCACGTCCCTGAGATCTGAGAGACACATAAACATGTGTTACTAACTTTCTTTTTCTTTTACAAAAACTTTAATTATATTATTTTTATTCCATTTTTATAAATAAAAATTTGATATCCTACTCCACTCAGCGTAGCAATCTTATACAGGCCATACGCATACAGCTCCACAAATCCAGACGGTCCTCCCACCACCAGGATATTGAGCCTGCAAAGACACATCACACATTACATAAAAGGCACAATACAATTTCAGAAAAGTATCAACCAAGCAGGTCAACAAATACAACACTGACCTCACTTCCCCCAAAAGGTTTGTGACTTCATCTGATTTCTCTTCACTGCAAGAGAAACAAAATAACACATAATAATCAACCAGAGCAGACACATGCCGCATACAGATGACCAATCATAAAGAGTACGACAAAGAAAAAGACTGATAATCAGCATATTAAGCACATAAAATGCCCTCTTACCTAAATATCTTTGATGTGGTGCTGTAGCTGAACACAAACACAGCCCAAAGGAAAATGGAAAAGCATTAAAAACTCTCATTCAGTCATCTGGTAGACAAACCAAAGCTCAGAGTCTCACCTCTTAGGTAAAGAGGGTAACTTTGGAAGAAAATGGCTGGACTCATCTTCGGACTCGAACAATGAGGACAATGTGCTAGAGAGAAAAAACATAAACCAGATGAATGAAACCAAGTCATCAATAGAGAAAGGAAATGGATCCTCTTTATATAAAACCCCCACCTGCTGTCATCTTGCACCTCCATCCAGTGCATGCAGGATGCTGGGTATTCAACAGGGAACAGGTGGAGGATTTCTGCATTCTCTGCATCACACAGCACCACCTGCTTTGTGTCTCCCACACTGAATGCCAGGACTGCAGACAACAGTAATATAACATTGGTAGATACTAGGGATGCACCGATATGAAAATTTTGGCCGATACCGATAACCGATTATTCTTTATTTTTGAAAGCCGATAACCGATATGTTGGCCGATGTCACATGTAATGAAGGTAAGGAAAAATAGATTGTAACTCATAGTTTCAACAAGATTTTTTAGAGACATTATATTTAAATTGTTCTTAAAACTGGTATAAAGGATTTTTTAACCATATGACACCAACATTAACACATATCTAAAACATTGGCACGTTTTTTAAAGCTTTTTTTCTTTATCGTGGGCACTCTAATTTGTGACTGACCCATAAAGCAAAGCACAGTACTGATAATGACAATGTTGGGATGAAAATAATGTTTTCAGACTTTACCTGTATGTAATGTATCTCAGGGTTGTCTTCTGTGGATCTAATCTCTGTAATAACAGAGAGGGACTTGAGGTCACTAGTAAGAATATGGCTGAAATTGAAAGTTTTTTTAGTTATGTAACGTACACAATAGGACATTAATTATTGCTTAAAAGCTAGGTTTTTATTAGTCAAATATGCAATGAATCAGAAGCAGCACATTTTTGACAATTAAATTGGTTCTACAAGAGATCTTTACTTTGCCATTTCTGTATTGCATTAGTTTTGAATATTTCTCATAGGGATTTAATCATTTTTGACTTTTCAGTCTGAGTTCGGAGTCTTTTTTGGCTCATTTTATCTGTAAAAAAAACCTGCCTAATAATTCTACACACCGGAATATAAGGAGTTTTTTACTTCCAGCCTTCATGGACAATTTTATATCACTTATAAATGATTAAATACAAAATTAATAGTAGTTATTAAGACTCATGTGGTTTGGAATTGGTCAAATGTGCTTGGAAAAAAATATGATCAGAATATCAACGTGCCTAATAATTATGCACGAAGTGTACATAAATATTTATGTAAAAACAGTTTTAAAAAAAGAACTATGATAACAAGCACAAGACAACATAGTTGTAAGATTTATTAGAAAAAAATAATAAAACTAATATATAATACTAAATAGCAATAAAAAAGAGTGTATATTTTCAACACATTTGGGTCATAAGGACTTGGACATTTTATAAGTTAGAAAAGATATTAGAAGAAGCCAAAAAATGAACAAATTATATGAATGCTGTATTCATGAATGAATTAATAAAAGTAAAGTACACTTCAGTAAGACTGCAGTGCAGTGATATGTCTCAATGTTATTTTAATATCAATATATATCATTATAGTTTTTATTTTATATATTTTCCATTTCATTTTTATTTTTAAGCTAATTTTAGTTATTTCACTGTGTTTTGTCATTTTATTAGTTTTTTATGTGCAAATTTTTTACAAATATTTATCTCAGTTTTTCTTATTTTAGTACTATAGATGAAATAAAACAGTATTTATCTCTCTATCTATCTATTAACATTTATTTTATTTCAAGTAACATTTTTAATGATTTAGGTAACTATCATAACCCTGATACAAACACAAATAAGGCAATGAAATGATATTTGAGTTTACCTTTCCCATCAGGTCTCCAGGCCAGTGATGTGATCTCTTTTCCGGTGTTCTCATTGGGCAGTAAACTCCACACCCGCTGAAAGTTGGCAAGCCGATGCAGGAGAAGCTGTAATGACAGAGTAGTCTAATGAACCTCCATTACAATCCTATAGGTAAGGATCTATTGAGAGTCTGGTTTAACAGATGACAGATATGTGTATATCTAAAACACCCAACCTCTCCTGAAGTGTTAGCCAGGGCGATCAGATCTCTGTTAGGTGACCAGGCCATGCACAGAATGGGGTTGGGGAGCTGTTTCTCCCCGACCTGGCGAAAAGCAGGCATTGCTGAACCCTGCAGAAGGAAAAAAGTCCATTAGTACAGACACCATCAGTACTGATAACTTGTATCATAGTCTTACAGAGCATTGATCAGTCCAGGATCACAGACTGCTGTTATCTGCTGCTTGAGTGACAGACAGCAGTTATGATGAACGCAGATCAATCTATAAACTGAAACTTTCCACGCCCTACAGTCGTTTATGACAAAAAAATAGTTAACTAGAATGACTACTATTTCTCCAATGCTGCACAACATTAGCCTGATTTTAAGACTTCACGCACTTACTAGATAAACGACGACTAATGATACACTCCACAATCAAGCTCGTCTTCTAAATTATATACGAACAGAGAAATTGATTTAAAACATTAATATATTCTTATTTGTACTGTAAACACATTCATGTTCATAAAGATAGAGCATAGCAGTGCGACCAATGAAACGTGATTCTGACCGCCAATGACATGATGACTACCGAAACACAAATGGGTCAAATGCATTCAAAAAACGCGAAACGAGCAAGAGTGAACATCACGAAACCTGTCAAGTACGACGAGCTCGGTTCGGTTTATCAGCAAAATAAATATGAAAAAATTTGCATAAAGAAAAAGATCATTATTTTCAGAAGTTGCAAGATTTTCTGTAACGATTCTTATTATTGTAAATAAATGATACAGATTATGAGCGTGTCATATGCAATGTTTGGCCACCTGTTGAAAAAAACAGCATATGCTGGTTAGGTATGTTTTGACGCTGGGATGCTGGTTTAAGATGGTCATTTGCTGGTTTATGCTGGTCATTTGCTGGTTTATGCTGGTCATTTGCTGGTTTAAGCTGGTCCTTTGCTTGTTTAAGATGGTCCTTTGCTGGTTTAAGCTGGTCCTTTGCTGGTTTATGCTGGTCCTTTGCTGGTTTAAGCTGGTCCTTTGCTGGTTTAAGCTGGTCCTTTGCTGGTTTATGCTGGTCATTTGCTGGTTTATGCTGGTCATTTGCTGGTTTATGCTGGTCATTTGCTGGTTTAAGCTGGTCCTTTGCT